ACGGAATCGCGACACTACGGATCATCGTTGAACAATCAACTGAATGCAACTCGTCACTATACATCAAGTTCCACCGCTATGAGAGAGTATTCGACAGTGTTGATAGGAGGACTTTATGTAAAAATTCTTCGACACTATGGTGTACCGGAGAAAATCGTCAACATCACATGAGATTGACACGACGACTATACTGCAAGGCCATGCATGGAGGACAGCTGACAGACGCATTCCAAGTGAAGACCGAAGTCAGACAAGACTGACAACCCTCTCCCTTTTTCTTTCTTCTAGTAGTTGGCTGGATTACGACATCTGACGGGAAACACGGACTGGTTGAATGCAACTAGACGGATGATCTGGCCCTTCTATCCCATATACATCAACAAATGAAGATCTAGACAACCAGTGTAGTAGCAACCTCTGTATCAGTAGGTATCATGCTTGATGGAGAAAATCTGGAAGAGGTGGAATCTTTCACGTGCAAGCATCATCGATGAACAAGGAGGATTTGATGCAGATGTAATGGTGAGGATTGCTAAAACAATGACAGCATTCCTACGATTGAAGAACATATGGGACTCAAAACAACTGTCAACCAATATCAAAGTCAGAATATTGAATGCGAAGTTCAGGACAGTCCTACTGCATGGAGCTGAAACTCGGAACACTACGACAACCATCATCAAACTATACAGGTACTTATGAACAGTCATCTACGTATTATACTCAATGTCGATTGGCCGGATATACCATCATCAATAGCCTGCTATGGGAGAATAAACCAGGTTCCAGCTGAAGAGGAAATTAGGAAAGGACATTGAAAAAATCACCAAACTGCATCACGAGGCAAGCGCTAACTTGGAATCTTGAAGGGGGACGGAAAATAGAGATGCCAAGGAGCACACTGCGTCTGGAATTGGAAGCAGATATGAATAGCAAGTGAAAAAACCTAGAGACGATCGCCCAGGACAGAGTTAGATAGAAATTTTGGTGAGCAACCTATGCCCTTTCACGAGGGGTAAAAGACATGTTAATAAGCGACGATGGTGGCTAGCAGTAGAATCCATGTTGCACGATTCGTCCTATGTTGGGACGTGTCATCTGGATGTGCCTGCATTTCAGAGTCGATGCCAACTACGGAACTCGAACCCAGCACCGTTAGCTACAAACTCCATCGTATTATCTATTCAGCTACTGGGTCCAGATAGGTACTAGCTTGTGCAATGTTGCGAACTTTTAATCCATTGATATTAGAATGACAAACGGAAATCGGGTTAGACTCACCTCATCTTTGGGAAAGTTACTGATCAACATTTTTGTTTTATATTAGTGAGTCGTTGGTGTCGAGACTCAAGTCATATATATTATGATATTCTGCACCACAAACCATCAGAATGGTTGAAGATTATTATCAGAATAATTCACAAATCCAAACACTGGGAGGTCTTACTTTTAATAACTTTGATGGAGTCTTTTTCGTTACATAATGTTTAGGACTCCTATATCGCCGAAGAAGCGTGTTTACTCCCCTCTTCAGTTAATCAAATGTCGAGGAGGTAATAGAATTATTAACAAACTTTTCTACTTGACCATCAGAACATGGGGGTCTGGAAGAAACGAGCAGATATATACACCTTATAGCATGCAACCAGGTAGCAGGCGTATCCGTAGCAAATGTAAGCTACAATCATGATCAATACTACAGCGATCATTTCTTGACTGAACAATGTACTTAATAAGAAGAGAAGGATAGTGGCTAGAAGTAGAATGTGAGACATGTATTTCGTCATATTTTGGCCACGAGGGTCTGGGAACGTTCGCGTGGTTGAAAAACATCAGCAACAAAATTCATATGGATGTTGGTAAAAATGTAATTAAAAACGTAGTCGCTTTCAAAAGAGTTGAAATAAACTTGGAACCTTATTTATTATGTAGAATATAGCAAATCAAAACTTTTGGTATGTCTAAAGAATAAAGTGATACTTTCTGACAATTACATCACATTATTAATAACAATTTGAATAAAAATTTAATACGTTTTGGAAGAGGTGGAATCTTTCACGTGCAAGCATCATCGATGAACAAGGAGGATTTGATGCAGATGTAATGGTGAGGATTGCTAAAACAATGACAGCATTCCTACGATTGAAGAACATATGGGACTCAAAACAACTGTCAACCAATATCAAAGTCAGAATATTGAATGCGAAGTTCAGGACAGTCCTACTGCATGGAGCTGAAACTCGGAACACTACGACAACCATCATCAAACTATACAGGTACTTATGAACAGTCATCTACGTATTATACTCAATGTCGATTGGCCGGATATACCATCATCAATAGCCTGCTATGGGAGAATAAACCAGGTTCCAGCTGAAGAGGAAATTAGGAAAGGACATTGAAAAAATCACCAAACTGCATCACGAGGCAAGCGTTAACTTGGAATCCTGAAGGGAGACGGAAAAGAGGAAGGCCGAAGAACACACTGCGCCGAGAATTGGAACCAGACACGAAAAGAATTGCCCACGATAGGGTTGGATGAAGTGTCGGTCAGCCACCGATGCTCCTCCACGAGGGGTAACAGGCGTAAATAAGGAATTAGGCCATACTGCCATCCACAATGTTTACATAATGCGAGTGCATAACTTGCACAATATATGAATAGCTAGCTATACTTCTCGAAGCTTGAATTCATACACTGAGACACAGATTAACACTATGTAGAAGAGATTATTTGTATTAGTATGAAATGAAATACGAACATGATTGTTTTTGAACTAATTACAAGCGTCATTTTCATTACTATAAATTCCAAAACAACTTCTATCATTAGCAAATCAAAAGCCCTTTACATGGGTTTCGTAATTTTTCTGAGAAACATTCCAGACGTCTTATATGAAATATAGTTTACCATACTTCTCTGTTGGGCCATAGTTTGCTCTCTTGGAATCTCAATCACCACCTTTTATGCTTGTTTTCATCCAAAACGTATTGAAAAATAAACATGTGGTCAAATTGAGCACAAACCACACTTCGGATCATTTTCAACAGAGTACACAAAGATAGTGGAAAAAATTTCTTTACTTTAGAATTAACTAATTTGAACAAACACATCGTTTGAAGTAAGCCCCGTCTTGGAGCAGTGTACCAAGATTTACAATTCAAGATGTTTTCAGAGTAGTTAAGCCATAAAATTTACAAACATAAATCGATAATGTTAGTAAGAAATGAGAAAAGTAAAGCACAAAAGTTCCAGTAGTTATTACTTGATAGCTAATTTTTATTTTCAAAGAATTATCAGTGATTTGATTGAATTGTAGTATGTAACAGTTTTAAACTTAAGCTTTCATCTCATCAAAGTTATATGACAATAATTGCGCTACTTAGTACTATAAGTTTTATCACAGTAAAAAATTCTAAACTATTCAACATTGTAACAAATTCCTTGTTGACAAATATCCAGATTTTAATTATTAAAAGTGTTCATATTTTTAGTAGTCAGCATGAGTTATCATTAATTACAAATTCAATGTAGTTCCATCTTGTTTCTTTAAAGAATAAACTAAGGTGCAGATAACCCAACAAATGTTCTGTTTCCCTACAGGTTTTCGAATGAACAAAATTTTAAAACAGAAAGGTTTGCTGCAGTATATGCGCAGCAGAAAAATAAGTAGCCTAAACGTTTAAATAGGTCACCGCCGATAAAACTGCTTTAAAACAGTAAATAATTAATTCTAGAGATATTATGTAGTTTTATATAAAATACGTATTAGTTATGAAGGCAGTCAAAGACTATGGGTTATTACGCACTGTTGTTATACGTACTACCCGTATGATTACAAGTTATGAATTAGAATAATGAAAGTGTTTAAAATCACTCGCTTTGACTACTGTGAATTGTTTCAGAAATAGGGAATTTTTATAGAGTATAGAGTACAACAAAGATGAATAATTTATGTTAAATATAGTAAGACATACAACTGCAATTAAACACGCTAACAAATTTTATCTTGGAATTTTCGAAGCACTCATAATCCGCTTATATAACCTACTTGTATTGAGGATGATACGAGCTTTCGTCTCCAATTAATTTATAATCAAATTCAATTTTATTAATTTAAACCATATAACACAAGAAATAACGAAAACTTAAATGAAACGATGTGAGCTAATTCTTAACACCAAGTGTAACATTAACTTCATTTGTAAAATCATGACAACTGAAGTTTAAATTATAAAATTTACTCTCGTCTCTTTTAAACTAAGGGGATAATTTGAACAGCTTGAGTTTAATGTATTTCCTGAAAAATCTAGGCAAGAGGTAAAATCTCCATCTAATACTCTTTAATATTCAATTAATTTTTAAAAATTAACTAGATAATTATCTACTATCTTATTTTGATCATGATAAATAGTTAATTTTGAAAGACTAAGAGATCAAAGTTCAATTTATTTACCGACTAACTCTGATTATTTGAAAAATAATAATAATAAATATTTTAAAAGGAAAACTCATAAAAATCAGTGTAATCAACGTAATTTTTAGTTACTTTAATATAGAACTACATATTTTAATTGTGAACTGAATAAAACTTTGAATAAACGACTACATTTTTTGGTGTTGTTGGATTTATACAACGAATATACAAAGTGAAAACAAAAAAAAAAGAATTAAGGATATATACATATAGATGGAAATCTTCATAGGATTAACAAAAAAAGTATACAAAAATACGAAACAAGAACACAATTAAATGCTTACACATACATACAACAAATTGATCTTAATTTATAGACGCATTAGAAATATATTATAGAATTATTAAGTGTTATCATCGGTGACAATGTTCTTCTTCTTATTATTATTATTTACAGGACAGATGTTGATTAATGAAAGATGGAAAAAGAAAAAAAATTATGACAATTGAACAAATAATGTTATGATAAGACACTAGAATATATTTGAGCATTATTAAATTTATTTAGATTAGCTTTAATGATTACTTTTTTTCTTTGTTTGATCGTTTGCTAACTGTTGTAATTACTCTGTTAACTTTGTGTACATTTTTTGAATTATTTGAAAAAGGATGCTGATTTTTGGAATTTCTAAATGGTTGACTACGACCACCTCGAGGTAAATATTTCTATTAAAAAGTGAAATAATATCATCAATAAAAGTTATTTATATGACTATAAAATATATATGTTCTATAGAAAAATCGACAAACGATTAGTCAAATAAATTTATTAGTAAATTAGTAAAACGTATTGTGGATTTGATTTTGGCATCCGCTATCATATGAAGTCTTGCGATGAACAAATAATAATTATTTCACTAGATTAAGTAAAGCATAAAATGTTTCCATATATATTCCGACTATGGATAAGGGTCATCGATAACTGGGTGTTTCTCTGGTTACGCTACGTTAAGAATAACATCTAATTCGGAAAATAAAACTTTAGTATATGATCCACTGTATATTCCTCAATGCCATAATTAATACGTGTAGACTAATAAGCACGTTCAGGAATGAAAACAAGACAGTAGATACGGGGGATATATTCAATGTGAAGCTATTTGAAGGTTAAACTCTGAACAAGTATTCAAAAATACCTCCAAGTGTTGCTTCTTAACTATTAGTGGGTCTAACCCCTTCAGAAATACTAGCAGTTTTCAGTCAAGATGAGTATTAAAGAACCTCAGGATAGTATGAAAAATGTTCACAGTGAGCATTGGAAAGGAATAAAAACAACGTAATCTATAAATTATTTGGGAGTAACTAGCTACAAAATGATGACCTCTGGATAAAAAGTCTTACTTTATAATCCACTTCTAACTGGTAAAATCGTGGACGCTTCAAACCTGTAACTAGGGATCGCAAAGGTATGTTCTTAACAAATATTTCTCCTGTCAAAATATCCACTTGAAGTTCATCAGCTTCCATTTCACTTCGAGACTGCAAAGTCAAAAACTCATCAGGAATTTCAAGCTGTTTAGAGTATCTTTTCTCACCAGATGGTTTGCGACGACTATTTGACATTTTAAGTATTTCAATTTGACTAGAATCTATGGCGACTGGAGATAAGACTACAACTGAAAGCTCATTTAAGTATGAATGTTTCTTAATTTGCTCAGAGTCTTCATGTAGTTCATTGTGTGTATCTGATAGAGTACCTTGTTCGCTACGCTTGAAATTATTATGAGAAAGAGAAAACCCATCTTTCATTCTTTGTTTTTCTACTTCAGGATTTTCAAGTCTATCTGGTGTCAAACGTTGGGTATCTTGATAAGAATATTCGGATGAGGTGGAACTTATATTTATAAGAGATGAATCTGAATCAGTATGATTGTATTCCGGAATATCATTTAAACGTTCCAATGTAACTGATATATCACGTAGTGGAAAAGAGTTTACGGGTAGAAGAGTAGACTCTTTACTAGTAAAATATCTTTTGGTTTCCTGCTTTGAAATTGTCCTGTAGGGTGAAAAATTGATTGACTTTCCACGATCAACTAATGACGTGACCTACAAAAAATATATAGGAAAGTTTTCATATAAATACACTTTATAGAAAATCTACAATACAAAAAAGAGATAAGAAAATCATTTTATACATTTGACAAAACCCTATAATCAGTGGCTTGTATTTCTTGCTGATACATAAAGATATCGTGAAAAGAGACACGCACCAATTAAGCATATCATTTTAGACTATAAAGATCAAGTTTAAACGCTAATATACTCTGACTGAAATTTCCTTAAATTGATTAGAATGATTTTTTGAACACTTATCCGACGTCGTATACATTGTCAAATATTTAACAAAATAATATAAAAGGGAATTGCCTATAAATATTATATTGAAACATAACTGAACCTATAAAAGTAGTTCTGATATCTACTTATAAGACGTTTAGCAGGGCAATAAAAGCAATAATGAGTCCAACAATTATGGAATCATCTGCTAAAAATAATAAACAAAATTGCATAACTAATGCACACAATCAGCATAATTAGACTTGATATATCGATCATGGTCAAAAATATTCATGTATGAAAAACAATATAATTGAAAAAAGATCAAGGGTAGATAATTAATATATTGGTTGATTTGCAGTTTTTAGCATTCAAAATCTAATACGTTCGTGTACTATGCTAATGATTTCACTATTCCGACTTCAATATCTCAAATAAAACTGCTTATATTCCTGGCCCACTTACTACAGTGAAAATACCAGGCTTTTTCATGTTGACCCAGTGTACTCAACACGAAATCCAACAAGTTTTTCGATTATATATCAGTTAAAAATGATTAGTATAGTTCAAACTGAGTATTTACCCCAGTAACATGAATCACGGTAAAAATGTACTGAAATCCCATGAATAGTGTTACCACTGAATAATAATTCAGTGTAACAGGATTTTAATCTAATCGATGTTGGTTTACTTCTCATAAGTCGTAATTGCACATCTCCAATGAAAACCCCAACAAGTACAACATTGTGTTCTGCAATGATTGAACTTAAATCCCGCCAACATTTCACAAATATATTATTTTTATCATTGAATACCCGACCGTAGCTCACACCTTGAAGTGATGGTTGAGCTCACCTACCGTGATGATCCAATCGAGCTATACTGACTGGAACACTTGTTCATTTAGGTCCTACCATATCAGGTGAGCTAATTTGGCTTTGGTCCCAAGAGTTAAGGGTTTGAAAACACGGAGTTTATACATGTAAAACCATCCACATAAAGACCGTGTGTGACTGGCTTCAAGCATCTATCTCTTTGTGCACTCCAATTAAGCTCCTAGGCTGTTAATATTTAATCCTTCTTATGATGACTGCTACCACATTATTCCAAACCGATTGCTATTTATCATGTAAACTATCTCGTCGTGCCATGTAGTATAGAAACTTGAGCTTAAGTACACTTATATCAGGCTCTAACATAGATTATGACGGACCGACTATCAATCAATACTTAGTACTGAAGTGGAATATCAGTTTATATTTTATTTTCGGCAGTAGACGGCAATAAACACAACGTAGGTAACAAGTTATCGACACAAATATCACTTTAAAAACATAGAAAAAAGGGAAAAGACATACATTATGATGAACACTTGCAATACGATTCTTTCGATGTCTAATTTTTTGTTGACTCGATGAATCGACTAAACTTGTTTCTGAACCCTCCGGAGAATGTAGCCTATAAGGAAAGAACATTATAAAACAAAACTGAGGCATGAAAGCTAGAAGTTATTCTTTATCATTTTTTAACTATTGGTGAAGCACATAAATTCTTCATGCAAACGACAGTTATTAAAGCTTAAGAATACTTCAATACAATCCACATAACTATTACTCAGTATGTTACGTTGTTGTATACATCTAGATATCTAATAAACAAAGAAACAAAGTGTTGTTTTCCCTCCTGGAATTTTCTCAGCCCTAGAGTGTTCCTTTTCTTCTTTGTTATACTCTTTTTATCTATTAATAACAAGTGGTATAACCCATGTACACTGGCTTTTATCAGATAGTCAATCAATTATTATTTAGGTTTTTATGAATCATTAAAAAAAGATTAACCGTTTGATAAACATAACTTTTCAGACTAATAGCTTATACTCTCTTAAGGAGTTGAGCTTAAACAACTACATTACTACACAATACACTTTTTGTTCAGAAAAATCTCAGTAAATATTGTAACTATTTGGTAAAGTATGATAAGAATACTGTTAATTGTTTATTGAACCAATTATAAATTGATTATATAAGCTTTTTTTTTAGTTGATTCCTTACATGTTAAGTACATTAAAAATTTTTTACTGTTAAAAAATCAATGCATTAAAATTAATCATTTATACACCTCGAATTCAGGTTTGTGACTTAAAGGGATCTTCATTAGATGTAGAACTAAATATATACCCAGCAGGTATAACAATCTACAACTTTAACTGAGCACGTTTAGATTTAACAGGCATACAATAAATTGAATATTATAAATATGCCACATTCTACAAAGTATAATATCATGTAAATAGTTAACAACAAAAATTTTAAAGCAAAATATAAATAAATATGTTAAATAGGAAAATATACATATGAATTCATAAACATTCCCAATGAAATATATCAAACACACGATCAATAGCTAACCTTTTCTGTGATGATCCCATATGAGTAAATCCTAAAAATACTGAGTCTTTCTCATCACTGGTATCATCTAATGTACTACCAGACGCATAGGATGAACCCGAGGATTCATTTAAAAGTGTATTTCCTTTATTATTTACTGATAATTCAACGCTCTCAAGTGGAAAATCACAAAAGCGATTATTCGAATAAACAACAGGCGATTGGATTAGGTTTGAACCATCCGGCATCTTAAATGGAAAACTTTGTTTCCGACGACTTGATGACTTCGATAGAGTATTGTGTAAAGAATTTTCACAAGTAGATTTATTTATACTAGAAGAAAGAAATTAATCAAACTTACAGAAATTAAAGCCTGACTAACAATTACAAATAAACTAGATAAAATTTACCAAATAAGTTATTTCATAAATTAGGTACTTAGTTTTGCCAATATATTAAATTTGCTTCCTAGTGAAAAATAATTGATTCTTCCATATTCGGAGTATTTGGCATCAACAATCACTTCAGTGCAAAAGGCGCATAAAAGCTGACAAACTTTTAAAGCTATGTTTCGGAGATCTCCATACGCTTAAATCTTAATGATTAGTCACTAACTGCAAACATTCAATCTATCCACTAATTCCTGCCATACGATAATTATGTCCGTAGTATTCCAATTGTGTATTTTCAATGTCTTACTTTGGTACATATTGCACCTTCATAGTAATAGTGAGTTGTGGTCCATTTATTCACAGGTCTAGTCATATAAATCTATAGAGGAAAGTACAGCTGTTTGAATTTCGCCTCCTCAATCGATCGTCAGAGAAGAATTTTTGCATGGCTAACCAGCGTTTCCTCAGTGAGTTATTCAGTTAAGACAGTAAAGTGGTTTATAGCACCTTTATCCATATCTAAGTTTGTACACCCTTAACTTTAATTAGCTTATTCAATAGACGATTTCGTTGCGATCGGTAACTAAATGCTTGTACCTCTACACAAATAGCCCGATGCATCTCTAGCCACGTATACTTGATCACGTGATATAATCTACACCTACATTCCTCTTTATTTATTTATTTTAACACATAGATATTGGTACAAGGAGGCACCAAATACATATGCGCCACACAGATCTCATTTGATATGTGTGAGGGCTGTGATACTACCCGGGTGCCCAAACCGAAGCAGGTGGTTTTCTTAGGGGGCCACACCCCGAGTCTTCAACCTGAACGTCTGACCCACAAGGCAGTGGGGCATCGTAAGGAGATGCAGTCCCATCGTAGCCGGTGACCAACGATTGGTTCATACGCCATTTGTTCCCTCAGGATACTGGAGCCCATGTGCACCATTGGTTTGGGATCCGATTATAGAGCCGGACATTCACTTTTCGTCCTCTCATTTTCGTAAACAACACCCTCGCCACGAGAAGGCAGTGAGTAGGACTTCCCTGGCAGAGGCTATATACGCATGGCCATGTGAGAGCATTTAGAGAGGGAGAGCGGACTCTCCCCGCTCTCGGCCGTGCTACATTAAATGTTAGTTGATTAAGACACTTGATGATCCATTTGCTCACTTGTTTATATGTGCCTCTCTTTAATTCTATTCATTATTTTGTCCGCATTTACATTTTTGTTCGAATTCGCCTAGTGTACTTTTGGCTTAGTGATATGGCTGTACAAATTCAAACTGTAGCCAACGCTTCGTATTGTCTTCTGAAATTCATATACCTTGGAGAATAATCTGGTAGCGGTTATCAGGATGTGTGATATGCGAAGCAAAGGAATAGTCTCGAAGAAATCTCACCACTAGCTTACTGCAAGGATGATTCAGTAATAACCGGACCCACGCTTGGCGGTTCACAAAGCCATAACTAGTAGCATAGAATATTAAAGATATTACAAGTAGCAAGTCAAATCTATAGTATTTAAAGTCATTAACAGTGGGTAAACAAGCTTATTTACACTCGTCTCTCTTGTTAGATCTTGTATACATTAAGCCCACTACACAGCAAAATAATCAAATGAAAGAAAACTAAACAGGCATTTCACTAGACATATAAATATACTACGCTGATTCCGTATTCACAATTAAAATAAATATCACTAAAGATCATTCATTATACGAAAGTAACTCTATGTATTTAAACGATTTAACCTAACAGTAGTGCCTGACATATCATAAGTAGTGTTATACTTTTGCGGAAAATGTTATTCGCACGAGAGAAAACGAACTATTATATATATAATTAATAAGTCATTCTTATTTTTCAGAAAATAGACCAATATCAACTTACCAAACTGTAACCGGTATATTTGGAAACGATTCGTATGGAGGTAGATTACAAGACCTATAGTTATTCTTATCTTGAGTTGTAAAAGTTGAAGGAGTATCTAGGTCAAATTTCACAGAAAAATAAAACACTAAGTTTAATATAGTCACATTCCATAGCTATGAAACACAACTTTATTCAATTATCACTTATGTGGACATAGAACATCACGGTTTTTCGGAAATCAAATAACTTTACAGAGAATTTTATGTAAACTAGCGCGGAATAGGTAACCTAAGTTGCAAACTGGAGGAAAACCTAAACCTAATATACTTTGAACAAAAACAAAGGTAAGAACAAATTTCTGTACCACTACTAATAATAGTAATAAGTACTATTATTATTATTATCGATGGTAAACATCAAAACATGTACAGCGATAATATTCCCGTGAAATATGAAGTCTTTCATAATCGTTACAAATCATAGTTATCCACAGAAATCAGTTATCTTCCTAACCACCGATAAAAGTGAAACATATTCATAGTCATGCAGTTGAACAAACCAAGTGTGAAAAATAACTTATATCCAAGATTCATTTACTTATTCCTTTTCTTTTATCAAACATACTGAGTTAGTATAATAAAACCATATGGATGCTGAGTGAACCGAATATTCTGAAACAAGTTAAATGGATACATCTAAAATATAAAAGATCTAAATAATAAAAAACGAAAATACGATGCTGAAAATAAACTGTTGTCCATGGAAGACTGATTTGTATATCAAAGATTTCAGATTATACACACAGGTGCTCAATAGAGGTATCAGTTTGACAAAATAGAGAAAACATACATAACGATCTATAAAAACAGTGTAGCATTAACTTGTACGCTAGAGTAGAATCTACGAAAGCGAATCTATATTACTACCAGAAAGTCAGTCATTCACTTAGATATTCAATGAAAAATAATAAATATGAGATAGGAATAACAAAATTATTTTAATACACGAACAAAGTAGCTGAGATTACCTTCATCTATTTTCTTCACTGTTACGAAATTGTGATTTCTGAAACAACAAGCTACTATATATGTAAAACTATAGTATCGATTAAACTTAGAATTCAACATGATTTTTAAAGAACTTTTATCACAGCTCAAACAATTCGAAAGTATCTAAAACATGAAATTCATCGCTGAAGGCATACCATCAGAAATATTCATGTCACTAGAGGAAGCTATAAATTAATTAAGGTTGTAAATAAGAAATATTGAACTAAAGTTGATAAATCGGGATAAATATGACTCAGATAGAGCCTTTCGATGTCCTCAATTTCATTTCAATAACAATCATTAGTTTATCAAGTGAAGAAAAAACATCCTAAGAATCATTATGAAAGTGATTGCTAGACTAGTTGATTTGTTGTGAATAAAACCTTAACTCCTAATAAGATCGTGAAAAAAATAGTTGGAGTTATGGTAATGTTAGATGGTTCAACTTCCAACCAATTAAGTTCAGGAAGCTCAGGTAACACAATAACTGGGATAAACTAAATGAATCATTTACAACCACTAGGTTACCACAGAAGACAATAAAGTTATTCTCTCAGCTGACAATGTATTTAGCATAAGTTTCTCCCATAATTCTTAGCAAAACATTTTTTCTACTCTATATGGTTTAGATATTATTCTGGTATAAAAACATTGTCCTTAATTCTGTCAAGTCCAATGCAAATTCAGAAATTGAATATATATAAAGAGAGGAGAATGTAACCTCTTTGTAATACAGTTCCAATAAAAAAACAGAATGATAAACCGTTTATTAATTTAGTGAAGCATTTAAATTAAAATGAATCTGCCAAAAATCAGTGGAACGAAGTTGGACATATTATATTGGGGAATATAACATGAGACCTAATTTACTATGATCACTAATACAACAAAAATATGATTACCATTGATAATAATAGAGTAACTATATTATACTTTCGAATCAATCAACAAAGAGACACTATCTTCAGGGTTTTAGGGCGAAATTTCAAAGTTAATGCTAGATTGTTTCTATCTTGCGAATGGCCTGATGGATCTCAACCTTGTAAGGAGCTTAAAGTACTTAGGATTAGTGAAAGATTTTTTGTGTAATCATGCAGTAAAAATGACAAGATGTAAAAGATTACACAAAACACTTACTCCTGATAGCGATTCTCTTCGGTACATGGATTAACAAGAACTCATTCCTCTTTCTTTTGTTTAAACTAAACTGTCAACCAACAAATATAATTACTGATGTACTGTATAACAGATTGTAGGTAAAATAGACTCCTTAGAAAATTCTGGAATGCCATCTGCATGACTTATTTATAGTGCCCCCACACGAATATCGCAATAACTATGTGGAATTATTTGTAAAAGTATTTATGACCCATTAAAGGACCAGAACATTGACTGGTCTTTATAGAGAAAATAATCTACTACAATATAATAAAAAAACTGACTACAAACGCTATAAAACAAATAAGCTACGTAACATTATACATATCTAAATTTCAATACATGTTTTTAAAGATGAATTCATGACTTTGAAAGAGTGCACTTTACTGACCAATAAGATTTAATTTTGATTAATTTTAATTAACTCGTTTAACAGGTACTTATGCATGAGCCGCGTCCTAAATGTGAGGGATAATTATACTACTAGATTGCCTAAATTGAAGTAGGTGGAACGGGGTTTAACGTGGGAATTCGTGGCTGAAAGTCGAACACTTTAACCACTAAGCTACTGCTAATAAGAAGCACGTGAGTTTCAAGGTTGATCTTTGCGTTGCACATAATTTTAACAAAATTACTTTAACAAAGACCTATTTTTATCAAATAGATATTAATACATTTGCTGCGTAAGGAACAACTAAACCGTGAACTTACTAGATACTGTTATTTCAAATACGTTTGAAGAAGTAGAATCAGTAACCGATAACGATGAATTGGAATTGGTAATCGAAAACAAAGATGACGATGACGAAGAATAATCAGATGTGATAATAATTTGATTCGAAGTATCAGATAAAGTTGTCGGATAAACTTGAAAACATGAAGGTTTCACCTTATCATGCTCAAGCAATGATAAATGCCGTGAATTTATATGTCGAGAAAGACGATCAGAATTCGAAGACCTTGATAAGTAAATAAGACACACAAATTACTTTTGCATTAGAAACACTGAAACAAACAAGAAACGATTATTTGCTGCAATTGAAACAACAAACATTCAATTAAGATTACGCATTGTCTAACCAGTCAACTATATTCACCAAGTTTGAACAAAACGAACTGCACTTACAATTTTTACAGTGAAGCAATTCTTTTGATGAACATTAAATATGATAAACAAAATACAATCATATGTATGCAAAAGTTATCGATGTTAAGTGAACTAATTTACAGAAAATATTACTTACAGTAGTCAGACAGTTATTTAAAAAGTAATTTTCTCCAGTTTGTATCACCAAAATATTTGAATGAATTCAAGAAATTATGCTATTTTTTTGATTAATTTAATTAAATCAACAAAAACTAAAATGGCTCGGTACAAGGAAGAAGGTAAAGACAATAAAATGATAATTTATTATGCAGTGAAAATATCTCAAATAAACATATATATTAAAAGATATTAATTTTGTGCAAGTATTATTTACGCTAAATAACAGTTAAACTTTAAACAATTTAAATTGAATTTTACTTAGAACTAGTTAACAATTTAGTATATTAATATAATTTACAATATCATAAAATTAAAATATTACAACTATAAAATAGAACTAATTTGCTGAGTTATATCATTAATCGTCCTTAAATAAACATTTTGAAATGTAGCAACAGACAAGACAAAATCAACAATTTACCTAACATATAAATGATAATACTTCAACGAAACAATTTGAATAATAAATTACCGAATATAAAAACCAAACTAAAATCAAAAAGTATCTGAAAGTACAAGAAATCATTGTACTATATTGATGATTGCGCATCAGATATAAAAAAATTCTAAATAGGTCTGATATGCCATTCATTTTCAATTTATATATTTGCACATGATTCCTAAACATTAGATTAAATTGAATATATGAAACCAAAATGTATAAACTAGAAGACTATTAGTATAGTGTTAGTACATACAGTTGATAATACCATTTATTAATGCAATACAAAGAGTTAAGCTAAAGGCATTAGTTACGATCAAAAAGCATATAGGACTAGGAAACATATACAGTTTAAGGCATGGGACAAGTAACTATTGATCTACATTGTTTCACTTATTCTCTACACAGCAAATTGAAAGCAATAAGAGAAAATCGTAAAAAGAATGTAGACAATGGTAGTAATAATAAGAGCTGAAGGGTAAACGCAAAAATACCACAAGAAATAAGTAAAAGAGAGAGCGAACTAAACATGAAATGACAAAATGTTCAAAATACGGAATAGATGTATATACCCCACCAATACTTGGGTTAAATAACATTTTATGCATTAAAAAAGTGAACAATTAGTGGATATAACTTGTTAAGTATTTAAGCTAATGGAAATTAATTTCTGACGAAAGTTCAAGTTCAATAAAAAAATTATAAATTTATTTTAGAAACAAGATAAACTCCTATACAAACACATAGATTCTATACAATTTAATTTATATAACTACTATTCCAAACAACCTATTTGCAGATAATGCAATCAGAAGACAGAGTCGATTAATCATAACCACGTGATATCTATAGGCGTAATAACTTGTCGAACAACATGATCATATTTATTTATTTGAACACATAAATATCGGTACAAGGGGGCACCAAATATATATGCGCCACACAAAACAATGAGAATTTAAAGAGAAGGAAAAAAATGTAAGGAACGTAGGGAATTATAAAAAAAAAGAACAAAAATGAGGGAAACGAAAAGGTACAATCAGAAGAAATCTTACAGTTAAGGAAGATACAACCACTTATTATGAAGAAAGTAAAAGAACGTTATGACAGGATCGCCACTGGCTTCTATTCTGAGCCATATCTGATAACGTTTCTAGCCCCTGTGTCACACCATCTCTTGGACCCCAGCCAGGGAGAGATGAAGAACCAACACAAGCCAGCTCTTTGTGGTTTTTTCATACCACGACACCATGTCATACACTGACCACCTCTCCGCTCTTTCCAACCGGTCCCAGCGTCGGCAAATAATGCACAACGTGGAATACTCTGGGACGAACATGTCCAAGCCAACGAGGTCGGTGTTTCAAGATGGTGAAACCAATTTCATTATCGTCTCTGTACCCGAACACACGATGCCAAACCTCTGCATTACTAACATGGTGTTGCTACTGGATGTCAGCAATCCTTCGGAGACAGCCATGATCGAACACAGAGAGTCGTCTGATATCCTCAACTCGGAGAGGCCAGGTTTCACAAGCATAGAGCAAAACTGCTCTCACCGACGCGTTGTAGATTCGACTTTTTACAGCCAGACTAACATCACGAAGGCGTCAAAGATGGCCAAGATTAGCGTCAGCCGCTCTGGCTTTCACTATACGTGCATTGATCTCATCACTCACACCACCACCAGCACTTATGCAGCTACCTAGATACATGATCATATACCAACTAGTTTAGATATTTTCATCAAAAATAAGGGCCAAACTAAAAAAATTAAGCAGAGATGGATGATGGTTAGCAGCGAAATATAGGACGCGAATTTCATCCTTTTTGGGACTCATTTAGATGTACCTGCATCCCAGAATCCCAGAGTGAATATCAACTATGGGATTCAGACATACCCAGCCGACGAGTCCCACATAAGATGAAACGAGCGTCCTGGATTCCATTGCTAGTTATCATTCACTTCTGCTTAAAATGTTTGTGACAGAATGGAAACATATCGAGGTATTCCGCACAGGATGCTCATAAGCCAAAGGAGATTGATCAGTCGCAGTCCTAAACATCAATTGAAAGTCCAAAAAACAACCAATATGTATGAATAAGGAAAAAACAGATGACGAGAAATAATATGAATCATAGCACTCGTATTGTTTTCTTTGACTTTCTTATTTTCATGTATTCTAATTTCGCTAGTTTAACTTTTATCCGTCGTATTAAAAACAACTTCAACAAGTCAATGTACGATCAGATTGTGCCAAATGTTATTACACTAAAATACATCATGTACCACTGATAAACTTCAGATTCTCATTGCATGATCTAAATTTATCAGTGGGGAAAATATAAAAACAACTCACTCGAGATTTGAAATTATGGCATAAAGTAAAGCTAAAAATCTCAATCGACAAAAAGAAGTTTTTTAAAACTAAACAATTTAGTGTAGCTGTGTGGTTTATACTCCTTATGTCTGTGGACATAGGTAGTATATAACACCAATCATAAGTGGAATGTCTAGCAGCAGAAGGTTGTGAAGGTTGAATCGAAGAGAACGGGAACGGAGAGTAATTGTTATGGCAATGAAGGAATGATGAAGTTTGAGACATTTGATGGAGGGTTCGGAATGAAGTATCGGACGTATGGTTTCCACATTTTACCAAAGAACTCTGTAATTTTATATTAAAATACATCGGTCGACCCAACCTGTGTTCTCATTCATTACAGCTAAGCTATGGGTTATTTTTTAAATTTGTTTAATGAAGTGAAGCCTAACGGAAATAGATGAGTAAGGGTTCGAATCTACGATGGAAACAAAATAAACGAGAACTTTCGTTTAAAAAAAGGTTGAATAATTCTCTGACAGAACAAAATTTACTTACGTAAAAGTACAGTAATCACAATGGAATAAATTTTTAGATGGAGATGGCTCATGTTGCTGGATCGACTTATCAGGAGCATTTTTTAGATCTGAAGAAAAAGCAAATATATTTGATAAATTATATGAATTTAAAGGAAAAACAAAAGATAAAAACATTTTTTTGAAAAATTTCACGTAAATGGCATGAATAAACACAGGTTATCTTAGAAAAAACAAAGTGCAAAGGCAAACAATGGATAATAACTAATTCAATTTAAGGTCAACAGAACAAGTTGTTAGTTGATGGTGGAACAATCCTAACAGTTCAATTGCCTTAGAAGTAGATAGTGATAATGTTGTTCAGAAGAACAATCAAAGCTTCATAGTCAAAAATCCGGCTCAGAGAGCACAACACCTCCAACTGTGGATTAATTTGGTGAAAGAGATAATAGCGAGTAGTGGAATTCAGAACGCGTGTTTTGTCCAAATTGAGAAAAACTAAATTCGGGAAAACGATGGAACTAAGTTTAAAATCACGCATAATATACATTTTACTTGACGTTACATTTTGGATGTGTTTTGAAATGGCTTCCTTCCTTTCAAAAAATAAATTGAGTTTGAGTTATTAAAAAAATGGGAACGACGAAAAGAACATGATAGGCTTATATTACACCATACATATTGCTGGGGACGTTTGAAAATATCCCTCGTCAAAATCTCTAGAGGCATAGAAACTCCAAGAAGTGTTTCGTCCAATCAGCGCTGAATTAAAGTTTCACAGAAATATTTAAAATGGCAGAATCATGTATCAATGTTTTGACTGAATAATGACCGATACTGCTACTGTATTTAGTATGCTTTAGGGAATTTCCAGAGCCCAAGGTTGTATGTAACTATAAATAGCCTCGTTTTCGTTTACATAAAGTAACCTTGGAGTAAGGCTCTTACTCGCAATTTGCGCTTTCTTTCTCTCTAATGTTCCCGTTGACGTGTAGAAATGATTGTGGTTACTATAACGTGTCACAATAGCACGACTTATCCCATATGAACCGTGACATAGGAGCAATGTCTAGATGTGCCTTACCTGTTCGAAATAACTGTTTTCCATGATAAGGTGACTACTTCAGTGTTGATTTTGCACTTGCTTATCATTAACAGTTACTGAAATTATTTTTATTGGGTATATTATTACACATGATTGGTATGCTTTTCGATAAAATAAATTATCAAATAAATGTACGCGACATAACCCACTTACAACACCTTAACATCGACATATATTTCGCATAATTAGGAGTCAATTAACAAATCTCAACTTACTAGCTATATCAAGACAGGATTCTTCTAAATGATTGGTTTCGTTGACAAAAGAAGCTAGTGTACTAACGGGCTAAAACAAAACCAAAGAAAATAGCTAGATAGTAAAATTTCTAAAAAAAATTGACAAAATCCAACTCAACCCCGATTCAAAAACTTTGTTTGGAAATTTAAATTATTCATTTACTAAGTCAGAAACATCCTCAAAAACATGATCTTAAGGGGGTTAGAGAAATTTTTAAAAATCTAAAGACACTTTTAATAACGGAACTAATTGCTATTAGACAAGGGAACTGTTGTATATAAATTTTATTTATAAACGATTCATCAAATTGAAATTTCTGGCAGAATTCGAACCTGTGACCTAGCTTACATTCACGGTGAAATCCCTTTTTTGTGATTCAACTATAAATAGGATTTCTCTTCAAAGTTAGTGATTCTAAAAAAACTGTGTAGTATACATGCTCTTTAAGATTTGTCCCCATTAGTTTCCTGACTGCCCCACAAATGGTGTAGTTCAGTAAATACCTAACAACTGCAGTCTGTACCTGCGATGACACTTTGACAGCCACTAGGCGAAAAAGGGATGTAAACTTTCACATTGTTGATCTAGGGGTTTCCGGAGACGGGACTTTGTCAGTACAGCTAACAAACAGGATTGTATCGATAAAATACTCCAGGGTAGTGATTTATCTGGTTAATAGATAAACCACTAAAAAACCAGACGAAGTTAGTGCAGTCGTTAGTAGTATATCTAAGAGAAAAGACAGTCGAAGTTAACACTACTTGATGTAGCTACAATAGATAATAACACAACGTAAGCCCACGCCTGGTCGCGAGTGTTCGGATAAAATACTTCTCTGTGTCTCTTTTAGTGATAAAAAACGAACCCAAAAGGTTTTGGTGGATGCAATCTGATAAGACCACTGGCATTTATAATGTTAGTTGGACATTCACAATCAATGTGGACCCTGGCACAAAGGCGCATTAGCCCAAGTTGCCATACTGAATTAGCAAAACCAGATAAAACTAATAAGATAAATGGTGGAACCAAAACAACGCAGTAGCAACGGTAATAGGAAAGATTAAACATTTACAATATGATCCGGAAAGATATAACGAAAAGGGATTATGAATGAAAGAATACTGCGGCTCATGATCTGGGGAAAGACTGAAACTGACAGCTTTGAGTATGTTTGAATACCGAATACCCACCGATATCTGCCACCTTGACGTGATAGTTTTAGTCAGATATTAAAGTTTTATTAGATGGAACACTTATTAACCTCTAGGTTAGGAACGTTGGTTATAGAAATAAAATCGTGTAGTTGATTGAATAAAAAATGACAACATTAGGGTTTTACAGCATCTAGCATAAATAACACTACAGTCCTATGTAGTCGACCAAGTAAAAGATATTTAAAGGCAGAATAAGCAGAAAACTTACAACTTGTGAAACATCCCCCGATTTTCTGGGTGGTTGGGAACGATGATAAGGTATTGCACCAAAGCAACTTACATCTACAGTTGACAAATGAAAAGAACGTACGTGTGAAACGAAACAACTAACATAATGAAGTGTATGGTAAAACTGAAACGTTCTATCCTCCCGCTTCAGTCTTGAGAACTAGCCTTCACAAAAAATATTTGGCTACGAACCGTTAGGGAGTTCAACCTTGAACTGAGAACACTTTAATTAGTCACCTAAACAAAGTATCAAACACACCGTCACAAAACAGTATTTAAACGCCTGTACCTATCTGCAACTTATGATTATTTTGACTGCCTGGAGAGACTTCCTCATACCAAATTTGATGCATGAAAAATGATCAAAGTATGCAATTCTATTTGAGGATTACGGTTACAAAGTTAATTAAGTAGCTTATTATGTAGTGATTTCTCGACTGATAAATGGGGAGATCTAGGAAAGAACTACTAGGTGATCCATAGTTTATCATTTTTGGAGAAAACCTCATAAACCATGCGCTTTTCACTGTATTTATTCAAATGACAAAATGTTAACAAATAATGTTAAAACTACTACGAACAACTAAGGACAAAGTTACCATGTTAGATATAGAAAACTGTTATAATCCACAGTGGCTGAAAGCAAGACATTCTTGGGAACACTAAAAACATTTAAATGATGGCAAACTTTTCAATCTTTGTGTTAAACATTTATTTTTATTAAATGGTTAGCTCCTATACATTATAAATCTGAGCATATTACAATTACCATAGATAGTCGGTGATAGTATATCACATTCAATTGATATTGAATAATATCTCCAGTTTGAAAAGTGGCTAGTTTATAAACACAACACATCCATTTTGCACTTTTGGTCAACTCTAGTGGTAATGAAAGTAGTAGACATATCTAAAAAGCATTTACGTCTAGGTGGGATACAATCTAATAATCTGTATCTGAAGAGAAATTTCTTATTGTGCTACCTACTTAGAAGCTATCGTTTCGTCCCAGTTGCGTGCCATTTCCATAATAACCGTAAGGAAATTAGACAAATAATAAAATACAATAAAATGATCAAAATAAACAATTATTGCTAACCTGGAGCTGAAATACTAGAGTGAAATTTTTGATTTATTAATGTTGAATGAACGCACACACTCGGTAGTTTTGCCACATTCCTCGAACTGACAAAACAGAATGTCTGGTAAAAAATGATACAGAACAGTGCAAAACAGTGATGTATGGTTATACCATTATAACACACAGTAGGATTATTTCGAGTCACTATTTTGTTAGTGGATGAAGTGACTATTAAAAGATAGAAAGTAAAATAAACAGTAACAACCCTTTCGAAATCCTGCACTACTAAATGTTATGAAAAACGTAGTGTATCATATTTATCATTGACAAATACAAATATTTAAGTAGAACAACATGAATTAATTTCAATTCGTTAGGTTCTCATCAGTTACCTACGACCTGTAATATTTAGAAATAATAATCACGTGGTATAACAAGGACATACAACACGATACTATGCTGATGTGTGTTCAAAACAACTTCCGAATAAGTACAGTTGTGTAATAATTTCCAATCAATTTTGTAGTTAGGATTTTAATATTACAAGCTCTAAGCAGCTGACGAGGATCTAATCAAGTAGACGAATTCATGTTATGCCGCTTGAACCTTCATTTTGTGCTCCATTTAAGGTGCCCCCAAAATGCCCTGGTACGGCCGGGAGTGCAGAGTTCACTCACTCTCTCGAAGTGCTCTCACATGGCCACGCGTATATAGCTTCTGCCACGGAAGTCCTATTCACTGCCTTCTCGTGGCGAGGGTGTTGTTTACGAAAATGAGAGGACGAAAAGTGAATGTCCGGCTCTATAACCGGATCCCAAACCAATGGTGCACATGGGCTCCAGTATCCTGAGGGAACAAATGGCGTATGAACCAATCGTTGGTCACCGGCTACGATGGGACTGCATCTCCTTACGATGCCCCACTGCCTTGTGGGTCAGACGTTCAGGTTGAAGACTCGGGGTGTGGCCCCCTAAGAAAACCACCTGTTTCGATTTGGGCACCCGGGCAGTATCACAGCCCTTACACAAATCAAATGAGATTCGTGTGGCGCATATGTATTTGGTGCCTCCTTGTACCAATACCTATGTGTTAAAATAAAATAAACCATTTAAGGTGATAAGGAAACTATATTGTTGATAAAGTCTATAGTTGCTTGAAAATGATCAATACGAGACTCTTCACCATAGAAAAAAGAAAGTCGGGACGCCTGTATAGATAAGGATTTACTTAGTGACCACAAAACACTGATTTCACTAACTGAACACCAAAATACATAAAAATAAACTACAACCAAATCCATAAACCTAATTCGTGTAAGTTTAGTTTGCTACGGAGATCGATATACACGAAGGATGAAAAAAAAGCTAAATCAAATGAGTTTATCTGACCCATACCGATATCAGGTCTAGTACACCAAATATGTTAACTGAATACTATCAAATATACTGACAAATATAAGCTTTGAATCATTAACTTTATAACCACAGATATTAAATCAGTAATAAACGACTGTAGTAAATGTTGAATCAGCTACATCTCGTTTGAGGACGATAACAATGTATCTGTTGTAATGTACTTGATGTATTATATTTGAATGCAATAAACGCAGCGATATATCTGCTTTTGTTTAGTAATTAATAAGTACAAAAAACTCAGTTCTACAAAACAGACAACCTAAATGAATAACACAAATGTTATGAGTATGATAGAGGAAGAAGGCGAAATAGATTGTAATTTTGACGAAGCAGGTTTTATTTAAAGTGTAGATGATGTTATAGATAACTGATAAAACTTAAACGCAGCAACGCCGAACAAAGTCATTGTCAATAAAAGAGGATAAACTAAACAACAGAAGCTTCAAGAAGCAACAGTGTTTGAAATCCGTAAGGCAATTATAGAACTTTCTACAAATAAAAAAAGTGAAAACACTATCTCTCAGGTAAAGCAAACAAACTCAGCAACCGTACATTGGTGTACGAAGAATTTAAAAATCAATACCTAGTATATTAAAGTAAAACGTACTAAAAACTACATTCAGAAATCAATGGAAACATATATTGTACCAAAACAACTTGATCATAATGTTTATTGAAATACATCAGTGATCATGTAATCGAAGTAAGATAGGTGACAATCGAATAGAACACAGTAAGGAGTCAAAGAATAGCTTACTCGATTTGATACAGCTGTGTTTACACTTTCTGGAATGAAATGTGTTGGAGAACAAAATGCAGACGAAGTGATGAAGTTCGGTAAGGCAGGGGGAATAGTTACAGAAACATTATTTGCCGCAAGACAGATCGATGAGGGGTTTTGAACAACCATTTGATCATTGATTATGCTAGTTGGAATGCGAAAATCTTGATCAGACAGAGCTTGGGGAACGAAACCATCATTTTGTAATATTAGTGAACCATCATTATTTTTGTTGATAATACGGTTAGACAGTGAGATACTTGGCGGCTAAATTAAAGAAACAAGAAAAGAAAAAAAAATCAAGTTTTTTTAATTTAAACTACCAAAGACTTTTGACGTAGCATTTTGAAAATACTGACAAGGATCGGATGTGTGTAGCCAAGAAACCAAAAATACTTCCACACCCAAGATATAGTACACATGGTAAGACTATCGATGAGTTAAAACTAAGATTACCAAGACCCACTCACACCACATTACACTGAACCCAGTGGGTGAGAATCCAGTCATTAAAGTCTACATTTTGAACACACTACACCTGTTTTGATAAAAATTAACACGTACAACTTAAATTCGATCTCATGTCTGTCGTTATACATATTCATTAAAACCTGTGACTATATAAAGAGGCTCCTAGAATTTCGCTAAGACGTATTGTTAAGTAATGAAGTGACGTAAATGAATTTTTTTAAGGGAGAATCAGAATCTAGAAAACAACATGAACATAATGAGGATTTGCGGAGATTTTAATAATTAAATTCATGAGTCGATCTAAGCTAGATCACCATTGGAAACCTGAAAGCACTGGACGGCCGTCTCGTCCTAGTATGGGACTCCTCAGAAGTGCTCATCCACGATCTATCACGCGAGACTTGAACTCAGGACCTTCGGTCTCGCACGCGAACGCTTAACCTCTAAACGAAACGACCGTCCAGTACTTTCAGGTTATCAATGGTGGTCTCGCTTAGATCGACTCATAAATTCAACTATGAAAATGAACATACTTGATAAAATCATCCATAGAATGAAGTAATGTCCTCACATATAAACAGTACTAATACAATAACATTACGTTACATATAGTTCAGTCGCTGACCGGAGAGGATGACTAATTCCTAAGAGACCATTGCTAAGCAGATCAGGTTTATAAAAAAATTGACCTCAAAGAAGCGAACTCTGCCAACGTTCGAAAATTTATTCTAATGCACACTAATGCGGTGCCCCCAAATGCCCTGGTACGGCCGAGAGTGGGGAGAGTCCGCTCTCCCTCTCGAAAAGCTCTCACATGGCCACGCGCATACAGCCTCTGCCACGGAAGTCCTACTCACTGCCTTCTCGTGGCGGGGGTGTTGTTTACGAAAATGAGAGGACGAAAAGCGAATGTCCGGCGCTTTAACCGGATCCCAAACCAATGGTGCACATGGGCTCCAGTATCCTGAGGGAACAAATGGCGTATGAACCAATCGTTGGTCACCGGCTACGATGGGACTACATCTCCTCACGATGCTCCACTGCCTTGTGGATCAGATCTTCAGGTCAAAGGCTCGGGGTGTGGCCCCCTAAGAAAACCACCTGCTTTGGTTTGGGCACCTGAGCAGTATCACAGCCCTCACACAAATCAATCGAGATTCGTGTGGCGCATATGTATTTGGTCCGTCTTTGTGCCAATACCTATGTGTTAAAATAAATAAATAAAATAATGCGGTGCCACACTACTTTACAAAATACCCCCAAAAATGTCTGACAGATTTCAGGATAAATAAAGTCGTTAAACAACGAGACAACTATATTTGGAAAGCGTGAAGGTGAAACCCACTTAGAAAGTGTACATAAGTTTCGGATGAGGACATCACTACATAAAACTGTTACCTAGGTGGAATAGATTATGGCTCATTCGCTTAGATCAGTAGACCGAAACAAGTGAAAATTTGTAAACGTTTATTAATTTGAAGATTTCGGAAATTATGCTGGTCAGATGTACTTCTCGATAGTTCCTGCTGTGTTTTTACGCTACGTACAAAGTTGAAGTAATACCTCAAGAGGAAATGATTTCATTTTTATGTATTATAAATTACGCTCTATTAAATTGGTGATCAAAAAGGATTTATTTTGGATAGATAGAAACCACTGAATTCTGCTGTCATATTGTAATCTTTAGTCAAAACAATGAAACTTGTGGTTGACTAATTATTTTCTGTATCCGATTTGAAATAAAGCTAGATAGGTACAAATGCTAACGAGTGAAACTATGTAATCAAACAACCATATTTTGTAACGGTATAAAAAACAAAATCTACAATAAAAAATACTAAAATAAACAAAAGTAGGAGTCAGAAAGGGGGACTATAATGAGTGGTGGAATGTTCGAAGTTTGAAGGTGAAGAATTGATGCATCCGTGTCATTTTTATAGATTTTGAATTATACAATCTATATTTTCAATTGTCATACCGCGTTCAGACGATGTATAGCTCGAAATATGAATACTTAAATGACTGGTACTTACGAGCAAGGTTCTTTGAACTTATAATGAAGTAAATTTAACTATTAAATCCAATAAACAATAGCATATAACTCATGCTCCCAGATTTCTCAAGAATAGATGTTATCAATCAATAATTGAATTTCAGGAACAAATAAAAGTAGGTTATCCAGCTCTGAAAACAATTTTCTTGAAATATTCGCAATCACCAGTGAGATAAATGAAAAACCAACTACGCCAGCCTTCTGAAAGATGAATTCCTTTGAACTGCTGTACTTTAGTTTTAATTAACACTATAGATATAGATAGATAATCTCTATCAACCTGAGTTATTTAAAGAGACGGAATTCCTAACGGAGTCCTCTAAATAACAGGTATGTAGTTGAAAAACAGGTGAGTTGGGTCAGAACCAATCAATGACAAATGTAGTCGTTTTTGGAGATTGTCATGGAAACCGGGATACACTTTTATCTTACAGCCACACTTCTAGCCAGTTCTAGAGTATAAGTGCAATATATATTAAATGTCATAGTAACAGAGTCAACAACTCACCCATAGTCCGCTAAAATCATTGGTAGTTATCGATTTGGATGGATTTATTGGTGGAAATCTGGGATTAGAAATATTCAGAACCAATGGTTTATTGTTTATACTGGATAAATGAGATCTATTCTTAACGTCTGGGGATGGAGTCAGTTTAGGTAGTGAAGCAGGTGAATGAAACAACTCTGCATTTTGGAAATGGCCAAGTACTCGACTTTCAAATGTAATTCCTGGTAAATGTTTGACAGATTCTGTTAGGGAATTAGATGTTTCGAATATAGTATGTTTATCAATCGTCATTCCAAAGGTATTGGGCTCCTTGAAAGGGATCACACAAGTAGAAATAAAAATAAACAAGAATTGAAAATTTTTTATTACTCATGCAGAAGCAGAAATAAACAGTAATCACACACTTATTAAAGAATTACACACACCGCTACATTGCCATTATTTTATACCTTCAGCTTAGCGATTCCGGAAATTAAACGCCAATATCAAAAAACAACACCGTGATTGCCTCTAATTGATCCCATTCAATATACATTAATCAGATGGAATATCAGTGATCGTATATCATAACAGTATCCGAAAATGCTGTGGATTTGGACAGAACAATCTGCTTAAACACAGTACATTTTTCTAGCTACCAGATATGTATTAAAGTAACTTAATCCAACAACATTAGTAATATCACTTGGTTAAATAGTTATATTGATCAGTTTTATTAACAATCACTTCAAGTATGTAAGTTCTGTACGAATTTCTGATTTCAGTAGTCACTGCTAGAACATGATTTCGATTTTTTTTTATTGTTTATCTTCTTAAATTCATTTCGTTGTGATAATGTGGCAGGGCAACTTGATTCAATATAAATATGTGCCAGGCTCTATGCTGATCTTAATTGACTGACTGAAAATCCGTATTGGATTTATGGTATTTTAAGTGCATGGCCAGGTAGGCTAACAAACTGTTGGTTTTCCACTGATAAGTATCATCATCCAAATACACTAAAAGCAAACAACTCTGGAAATTAATGTACGCCAGAATTTAAAATCAGAACAAAAGAATAGTATACGAAGAGATTTATGGAAAAACGAATGTAAAAAGTACATTAGCACATAAAAAATCTAGATGAAAATGTATTTTAGTTAAACTTTTATCGTTAGTACGTGTAATGATAATTGAGATTTCAGGTTTTCGTAAACAAAAGGATGACGAATGGATGGCGGATTCTCCATTGATAAATGTGGAAAGAACTGTTCAGACATGACGACATTACCCCAAGAGGATAAAAGTAAATTTTCCAACGGTTGTATGGATCCAGGATATGCCTAAATGTGCAGGAAGAAATTACTGGTCATTATGAAAACACAATTGTCCAATACGAATATTTTGTCCATTTTAACATAATAATTTTGGATTTATAACTGTACAACCTAATGAAGAAGTTATTGAAAACGATTGTTCGCTCTTTTACTCTTTGTTAATCACTATGGATAACTCAAAGTGTACTGATACACTGAACATGAAACCTTGATACTAGACCAAATAATGAGATGGAGTTGATATGAAAACCGAAATGCATTTGAGTAACGCATTTTGAGCAATCTGATCACATATGTCAAGGCATTTATATATGGAAGACAAATAAAGGCCAATTAAATAATAGTTCAATAATATGAAGAGGTAAATGGAAAGAAAAGGAAACCATAATCCAGGATGACAACATATTAATTTCATATTACATTAAATCCATACTCCCTTACCACAATATATTTACAGTAATCTTGTTTGATTTTTAGTTTTTTAATTGTAATGGTTTGACAAGTGTGACTAGATTGTTCGAAATGTATACGGCGAAAATATAACATTTTCAGACTAACTCCTTTTCGTTACACTAAAAATTTATGGAAAGTACTAGTTATTCTGTAGCAAGTAAAATAGTTTAATTAAATACCCTTAAGCAAAAAAAACAGAGCATTAAAAACAATGATATTAATACGAATGAAAAGTGAACCTTATCACCAAACTTAGTGTAGATTTATGTGCTAAGCCTTAAGTCACGTCGATTTTATTATGGCTGGAAGTAGTACCCAATGAACAAGAATTGTTAAATGTTTAAAACATAAGTCACAAGTGGTAATCAAATGTTAAAAGTTCTGGCTTTCACTCCAAAAAGTGCTATAGATCCATACTGCTGAGGAGCTCCCAATCGAGACAAAACAGGCGTGCAGGGTCCCACGGTCTAACAGTTCTTCAATTAATATCAGCTCATGAAAATTATCTTCCAGCTGAATAAACCCCCAGAAATCACCAACCCGAAAAGTCATTATTGTATAACTCCAAATATTTTCAGTAGTTCTATTTAATAAAAAAACAAGTAAAGATAAAATTTCTCTTGGGTTTCTTTTCCGAAAAATATTCAGATCTTTAGAAACAGTAAATTTATTTAAACACGATCGCTCAATACTTAAAACGGGTTCATGATATTTCCGGTTTCGTTAGCCAATGGCTACCTGAATAAGGTTCAAACTAAAGATGCATTACTTGGTAGGTAAGAGTAATTTCCTGGTACTCGAGCTTCCTTAATGTTTAATTCATAGGGTAAATTATATAGTATTGCTTTACTCTACAAAAATACAGTTATGAAAAATAAATCTCTAATCAGGATTTCACAAACAGCTGAACTCACCAATTTGAGTATACCTGAGAAATTTTGATATGTTTTAAGATGGTTTATTGTATTGTTCACAACTGTCACATTAGATCCTCCTAAATCGATAAGTGATTTGCAAGATTGTGATGGATAATGTGAAGAATTTTCTAAAGGCATATTTAACAAAAAACGAGGTGGCATGTAAGTTCTGAAGAATACATGAGTGACGCATCCAGTTACATTACTTGGAATGGTTTTCATATAGGAAAATATACCAGCTTGGTGTAAGTACCCATAAAATAAAATCAAGACAAACTGATGAAATATCCATAGTACAATAATACTTATACAAGTACATGAAACGTCTTTTCGTTTTGTATGTCTTACTTTAGCATCAATACTCTGACCAACAACGAAACAAGCATACGGTAGGCATGGGATAAGAAAACGTGCTTCTTGATGAGGTACAATAGATAAAACAAATGTAGGGAATACCACACTGATCCAAGCAATACACGACGAAACTGAACGACGTTGTAAAGGTTGAGTGAATAAACGAAATGTAAAAATAGGTCCAAATATTAAAGGCCAATTAATAAGGAAATGTGTAAATCGAGAATGTAAGCCATGGGAGGAAACATGGTATGAGTTGGAGTTATAAGTTAAAAACCGGTAAGGTGTATATATCAACTCAATTCGTGAAAAATCGACCTGGGAAGCTTGTAATAAACTCACATTGTGAAAGTATAACGTATCTATTATTACACAAATGAATGTGTTGAAAAAAACAAATAAAACAGATGGTAAACAAAGAATCATGGAAACGTACTTAAACTTTACTAAGATGAATGCGAATTCGATCATTCCTAATGGAAGAATGAACAAAATATAAGTAGGTCGTAAAAATGTACCCCACACAACAACAGCAGACTGAATACACATAAAAAGAATTAAGGATTGTTTATTCACAGTAGGATCAGATGATTGCTCTAAAAGATCCAAAATTTTCAAGAACAGTAGGCCAAATAAAGAAACATAAATCGATTCCCATACATTGACAATTGTACGTGTAGACCATAAACTCCCACCGAATGCGCATGATGCATAAAGTAATAAAGCTGATGGTACAGAATGATATTGTGCAGCATGTAATATTTTTTGAATGTTAGTCTGCTTTGCTGAAAATTGATGATGATCGACACGTATACAACAGCTTAATATAAAAAGATCGACTAAATATGAACCAAGTACAGTGACTAACCGGGAGGGAAACAGAATTCTATTTAACATATCAGATCCACTGAAATCAGTTTCTTCAGCTAAAAAATAAATAGATTGAAATACTAGGGATATTTTCAAGATGATGGAAAATAATACACACAAACAACACCGTCGTGAACTTTATAAGGGCATAATAACCACGTTTAGCTAACTTTCATTTATTAAAAACTTGAGCAACGAAACTTGATAGACAGCATCTAGCCAATGTCAAGATATGAAACAGAGGCTAATCAAGAATTATAAAACAGATATTTACTAGTTTTTCAACTAGATGTGTTGTCAACTAAGATATAAGATGATTATTGACTCGTTTACCAAGTGCAGATTTACGCCCTTGACTTTGAGTCAAACGCTAAGTGTAAGGGTTGGTAGAACTACTAGTTGTCCTATCCGTAGGTGAAGCGGGGTTCGAACCTGGACGGAATTAGGACACCTTAGCTACCGGTTCACACGTGCATAATAATAATAGCAACGAAAATAACTTTATGGTTTAAAAAACATGTAAAAAGAATGTAGTACACAAATCAACTTGATTTTGGCAGAAAGAACATAACCTTCGTACATCTGATAGGTTTTTCTATTTAACCGTAGTCCCATACTTTTCAACAGTATACCTGGGACTCAGACAAAATGTGTGGAAAATAAGCAACAAATCTCAAATCACAGAAACATTACTTCTATAATCAACTCCACGATGAATCCATTTGGCAGCCTGAATCGGGATATGTACAAAAGGTGACATTCCAGCTACAGACCTAAGAGGACCTTTATCATCTAAGTGAAATTCCCATGTCCTTAATACGTCCAGATTATAAATGTCACCCGCTGCAACTTCAATCCCCTGAAAATACTCATCTGGATGTAAATAACCCGACTGCAAATTGAACACAAACAGAAACCGTAAACATAAAAGCAGTATGTAGATAACCCAACCACGAAGATGTGAAGTCATGGATAGCTGGAAGTATAAAATAGAGAAGATAATTTGGATGAGTTTACGTTACAGTTTTTCAATAAGAAAATGAGATATTCAATAACAGAAAAAAAACTATGGAAAGTATGTTATCGTTTATTGAATTTCAAAGGCAAACATCAGCAGAGAAAAATAATCAAAACGTTGATTCTAATTTAGATAACTGGAATGAAACAGTACTGAGTGACTCGTTTGGAACAATTTCAGATTGTAAACAGCTCGTTTCATCATCCTTTTTCGTTTTTAGTTCCATGCACTGACTACTCGTTTGAACAATGAGAGGTGAATGTTTATTGGTTGGATGAGGGAGAATACGCCATGGACATTGTACTTTTAAATTGGAATGCATTGATCTTGAGTAAAAAGATTGAAAGAAATATTTAGAAAACTTTATGGACATTCAATATATTGTATACCAAATCACAAGAAATTTTAATTAACAACAATAGTTAAAAATAATACTTTGTTAGGTGCAAATATAACCATCTTTTACAAAACACTGCTTCGAAACACTAGTTATATTACTACTTCTCCAAGAATGAAATCAAAAGGTCCGTCTAGATATTCAAAGGGTTTCGTCATGTTTGAAATGGAGATATAAAGATTGTCAGTTTGAAACGAAAGGCTTATAACTTGAATTCATTGTTTTGCTTGTCACTAAGTCATGTAATCACATTTCCACTTTGACATTCTGTAGACAAACAAAAGACAAAGAGCTTCCATCAGACTTATTTCACAATATAATTATTTAATTACTGTATTCGAATTTATAATGCAACTTACTATCATCAGATTAATGTGCTCGGCTTTGAGCCTCACTTTGTGAGCCAATGATACTATTTCACTAACCCAATTCAGCGTCCAACCAGAAAAATCATAAACAAATTTAAGGTTAAGAATCAGATCAAGAGGGAAGACAATAAAAAAAATGGGCTGATAATGGGAAGACCAGTGCTAACAATAGCCAATCAACCTCATAACAAACAGAATAAGCTGCTAGTCACTTGTGGGGAAATTCTCATAACTTATTTCCATCGGAACTTTGTGATTTTATCTAGGAAGATAACAAAAGCTCCATAATTAAACCCCTCTGCTCATAGGAAGCAATTTCAACAAAATTATTCTGCTAAACTAAAAGCTTTCGCCACCTCAAAATGTTAAGATAAGCAGTGTGTAAAGCAACTCGTTACAAAATGATAATACATCAGAAAAATTTGACAGAAAATATAAGACAATATAAACAAGCAGTTTGAATACACTTACCTCAAAACAATTACTGGTGAATACAAACTATCATTGAGTGGAGATATGGATGGGACCAATATATTCAATTTTTCACATAATACTTTCATTACGAAGTCAGCCGGTGCATTTATATTCAAAGTTGCATATTTAGCCATTTTTGTTGGCTGCAGATTAATAATTACTAGTTTTGAGCTAAGATTCTTTGAACTCTCAGTTTTATAACCATTTTGAATGAAAGGACAATTGTTGGTACTTCTGTTATTGACAGTCTTACAAACATTTGTAAGAGGAAGACCGGCGGCAGGGAACATTTGTAATGATGAGCCGATACATATGTGAAGATCTGCTTTTCTGGAAAGGAAAAAAGATATGACATGAACTTCGAAAAATACTCTTAAAATCAGTCTCGAATTTAAAATTTTAGGACAAACTTTGAATGTTCTATTGCAAGGTTATAATCCAAGAGTGGTAGATCATCTTCCCAGTCAAGTATAGTATCACGAAGCTTTCCTCTGTTGTTGTTACACAAATATATGTTAGCATACCTGCAACACCGTTTATTAGGTTTCAAATAGGTGCATACAACTGATGACTGCCGTAAACCCACTGATTCTGAAGGTGTTGATCGAGCGTACAAAGTTCCACAAGCACTACATGATTCAAGAAACATATCACCATGAAGAATAGCCAAACGGTCTCTTGGAAAGCCAGATCTCAAGTGCAACCCATCGATATTTTGAGTCACTAAGAATTTGACAACATCTGGAGACGTAAGAAAGGTTTCAGAAAATCCAAAGTACCATGTTTTTCCAATTCAACAAGAGCTCGATGTGCTAATGATGGAAACACTTTCTCAAAAGGTACAGAAAGTCTAGGTTTCCTTCCAACTTTCTCCAACGTCCAGACACCTACAACGAATAACTATTGCAAATTTTAAACCTACCATCAGGACCTCGAAAGTCCGGTATACCCACTGATGTGCTAATACCAGCTCCAGTATGCACAACTATGTAGCTGGATCGACGTACCAAATTAACAAGTTCAGTGAGTTTAGAATTTAGTTGGGAATCGTCATCGAGAACTTCAGGTAGACCACAAACTCCTTTGTTGGGATAGTAAGACAGCTTAGATGCATAATCAACTGACATTTATTTTAGTGCGCACAGTACTGGGAAAACATCATTATATTATCTCAGATCAAAATTGACGATTACAGATTCGCAATCAGGAGAAGGATTTTAACTTTATACCCCAGGCTAAAAGAAAATCCCATCAAATCAACTTTTAAAACCATTTAGCACAGAGGAACTAGTTTGCAACTTACAAATGAAAGTAATATCGAAATCTATTTAGAAATTTAAATTATGCAGAACCTAGAATATCAATTTAAACCCACATTGATGGTGGATCATAAAAAACGAGAAGGGAGATAAACCAAGACAAACTGGACGAAAGATATAACCAAGTAAGAACAAATAAATATGGGGCGAAATGGAAGTGCATCATTTAGCTATCTAACCGATAGTCGAGGGAAAATTCTCACTAGGCATAGTATTTTCACGTTATTTATTTATTTTAACACATAGGTATTGGTACAGGGAGGCACCAAATACATATGCGCCACACGAATCTCATTTGATTTGTGTAAGGGCTGTGATACTGCCCGGGTGCCCAAACCGAAGCAGGTGGTTTTCTTAGGGGGCCACACCCCGAGTCTTCAACCTGAACGTCTGACCCACAAGGCAGTGGGGCATCGTAAGGAGATGCAGTCCCATCGTAGCCGGTGACCAACGATTGGTTCATACGCCATTTGTTCCCTCAGGATACTGGAGCCCATGTGCACCATTGGTTTGGGATCCGGTTATAGAGCCGGACATTCACTTTTCGTCCTCTCATTTTCGTAAACAACACCCTCGCCACGAGAAGGCAGTGAGTAGGACTCCCCTGGCAGAGGCTATATACGCATGGCCATGTGAGAGCATTTAGAGAGGGAGAGCGGACTCTCCCCATTCTCGGCGCAACAAAATTTAATCACAAAACTGTGAATCTAATCTAAAATCTGTTGTTTTGCTTTCCGAGACATGTAAAACTAGTGTACTGATCATATAAGTATACAGTCTGGAGGTGTTTCAGGATTTGTTTAAGCTCAGTTTATATGATAAAGAACAAAGGCGCAAATGGACGTTGTCTTTAAACTGAATATTCAACCTGAGAAAGAATTAATATTCATTACCAAGTAATTGGATATGAGCTACACTCGAAGCGTGAAGGCTAATGGAACCACACGGTTGTCCAAACGGAAGTAGGCCGAATGAGGTTCAAGTAAGGGACTTAGTGAATGAAATCCCAACGCCCTAACTACTGGATCAACACCCCATAAAAAGGCTGTTTTTTTTTTCATAGGTACTGAGTCATTTTTTCTGAACATAAAAATTTTGAAAACTAATCCACAGATAGCTCCAGTCAACCATTTTCGGTGAAATTCCGGAGCTTTCCCTAAAATCACATGAAAAAGAGGACCTTTCCCGAATTCTGGGGCTATTCCGAAGTTTTAAAAAAACCAGATTTTATGAACCTTTGAGGTTTTCCTACATTTTCCAATATGGTTTCCCCAAAACGCATAAAGTTTCCCCCGAAACCGGAGGATCGAGGTACCGCAAAATGTAATGAAAATTCAAGTATTCAACAGAAATAAATGTAGAAGCTCAAAGAAACACTGACTCATCTTGAAATGAAGTGAGATAGCAATGTTTTGACGAAAACGTGCCACTGACTATACTATAAAAATGACATTAGATAAACCGGAAAAAGCATATATCTACTTAAAATAATTTCACTTATTTAAAATAATCTTCGTTATAAAAAGGATCTTATGAAGAAACAGAGCATACTTTTAAAGTGGCGCTCAGTTTTAGGACGTTCAGTATCGGATACGAGGGCAATTTAAAAAGGACATTTAGAAGCAGGAACAATGAAGTGGTACGTGACTTAGTTCGAAACACAATAGTTATTGGATTCTCATATTCCTGACACTGATCATTAGACTAAAACCATTCATATTTCTTACAGTGGAAGGTTTCCAAGGTTTACCATAAGTTTTGTATTGCGAACGATCTCAAACCCCACCGATAAAGCCAGACTCTATTATGCATCATATACATTTTTGAAAAACAATCGATATAATTCATATAAATTCTAAAACACACAAGGTTAGACTCGGACGATACATCTGCCTAAGCTGTCCAATTTTAGCTACAATCACACCTGGTGTGATTAAGAAAAACAAACTTTGCACTACATGCATAAATTTTGGAATGAATATGTGACTTCTTTAAAATCTGTAAAAGTGAACTGTTTCTGCGCAGTAATGAACAAATTTATGATAACTTTACTATTACCAACTAGTCCATTGTGATCTGTATCTGTAGTGATGACTCCCAAAGCAAATTGCTTTATAAACACCTTAAGCAATTTTGAAAAGTTCAAAAACGAAGATTCTATCAGGATAGCATGAATTCATTTTATTTCGCAGGATCTTGTCAGCTGCTTACAACCTGTGATATTTAAAACCATTATTACATAATGGGTTTAAATTACCTACATGAAAGGTTTGGTTGGGAGTTATATTGAAGACATATTCGTACAGAATATATATAACTTCCAACCAAAACTCTCATGCAAGTAATTTAAACCCATTATGTAATAAAGGTTTTAAATACCACAGGTTGTAAGCA